TGCATGTTTTTTCTTTCTAAAAACACAAATGAAACTAAAATCAAACAACTGAGCTGTTTTTATAAATATAAATAAATTTTATAATTTATAATTATTTATGATGTCCTAAGATCCTTAACAAACAGTTTATATAAGTTGATAGGAAAAATACTGAAACTCTAATGAATAACTGAAGTTTTTAAGGAAAAAATATTCTTAAATATCTGTTTAAAAAGTTCTAATTCAGGGTCTGGAATTGTGGCTCAGCAGTAGAGCACTTGTTTAGCACATGTGAAGCTCTGGGTTTGATCCTCAGCACCACATAAAAATAAATTAATAAAATAAAGGTATTGTGTCCAACTACTTCTTAAAAAAAAGTTCTAACTCAGTAATCAAAAAATGTAAATTAAAATAAGTAATCATGTATAATATCAAATTCACAATGTAGGTAAGGGTGGAGTAAGAGCTTTCAAATACTGCTGCTAGGAATAAAATTCATAAAAAGCAACATAGTTCTATGTAAAAATGAGTTTTTTGAAATTTCACACTTCTAAGAAACTATCCTAAAAGAATCAGAGCTGGCCAGGGGAGTGCACACCTGTAATCTCAGCAACTCAGGAGCCGGAGGCAGGAGGACAGCAAGTTCAAAGTCTGATGTCCTTGTTTATGGCAAAGGTTTTGTTGAAAGGAATCAAATGTAATGCTCTTGCACTAACTCGCTGTCTGATTCTGTTTAGTATAATAGATTTGGTACAATTTTGCAACTTAGCATGACTCTCTCAAAATAAAATTTTAAAAATGGTTGGAGTATAGCTCAGTGGTACAGTGCTCCTAGGTTCATTCTCCAGTACCAAAAAAAAAAAAAAACAGTCACCAGAAATGCTGGCAAAGGGTCACATGTAAAATGTTCATCATAATGTTGCTTTCATACAGAAGAAAACTGAGGGAAGATACAATTTACCTATATAAGAATGGACACATGCTGGGCACAGTGGCATATACCTGTAATCTGAGCAGCTTGGGAGTCTGAGACAGGAAGATAGCAATTTGGATGCCAGTTTCAGCAATTTAACAAGATTCTAAGCAATTTAGTGAGACCCTGTCCCAAAATAAAAAATAAAAATGGCTTGGGATGTAGCTTAGTGCTAAAGTGACCATGTGTCAAATCCTCAATACGAAAAAGAAGAAAGAAGGAAGAAGGAAGAAGGAAGAAGGAAGAAGGAAGAAGGAAGAAGAAGAAGAAGAAGAAGAAGAAGAAGAAGAAGAAGAAGAAGAAGAAGAAGAAGTAGTAGTAGTAGTAGTAGTAGTAGTAATGGTGGTGGTGGTGGTGGTGTAGGAGGAGGAGACACTGTTTAGGTGAATAATAATACCTTTATATATTAATACACTCATACTAAATTACATCTACAAAAGCTTACATAACTACAATGAAGTAGAAAAAACAAGACATCAAACCATATAATCCCTTAATCTCATAAAAAATATAGAAAGAGAACAGAAATGAAAGAAGTCTGGTAAATGTTTTGTATAGAGTTAAAATTATGAGTGATTTGTTAAAATTTTCTCTAACTTTTCTATTATGAACACCAAAATGTAGAATCAGAAATTAGGAATATGTACATTGTGGTAATCTATTGAAAGAAAAATTAATGTGTCAATTATTTCTAGTTAGTATAATTAGCTTTACTCTTTCCTAATTCCTGGCTATAATATTTTATATTGCTATTTGTACACCATTTTTGCCTAATTACCACAAAAGGTATTCTATTAATACTCCTAAAATATTGTTAACAGAAATAGTGGAAATAATTTCTCCAATGTCAGTAAAATAACATAAGCTCCCAGAAACTTACAATCTGGAATGATACTACTACAACCATAATTAAACCTGAGTGCAGGGAAGGTTTCCCTGAGGAAGTCAGAAAAACATTTTGTTCCATTTTAAAGGTGATTAAACAAAATTGTACCAAACCTATTATACTAAACAGAATCAGACATCGAGTTAGTGCAAGAGCTTAACATTTGATTCCTTTCAACGAAACCTTTGCCATAAACAAGGACATCAGATTTTCTTCTTGGATCCCCAACCATTCTTTGGCACAGACAACCAACACAATGGTCCACTCATTTCAGGGCACAAACATTGACAAGAAAGTAAAAACTCCCACCTTATATGTGTTTTAAAACACAGAAGTATGTAGATTTATAATTCTTTCTTAATTCAGTTTTCTTCCTGGGTTAAGACAGCTTTAGTTTACCCTTTAAAATTAACTTTTCCTTCTTTCAAAAAATAAATAAATAAATAAAGTCACTGCCACATTTCAACCAAGAAGAAAAACTTAATTCATTATTAAGTTATACCTGAATAACTTTTTTCTGATTTTAAAATTTGGCATAAAACATCTACATAAGGAAATTGGAGAAGAAACTGCCATGAATAAGAATACATAGCTTATAACAACCTATTTCTTTATTTTTCTGTTTCTGACTTGTTGTTTTGGTGGCATTATAATCAACATATGGGAAGAGGTTACGGATAAATACCATAAACTGGATAGCTGGAAACCAAACCAATAAGTTTTTTTTTTTAATATAAAAGCCTGCCTTGCCAGGCACAGTAATGAATGCCTATAATCCCTATGGCTCAGGAGGCTGGGATTGGACGATCATGAGTTCAAAACCAGCCTCAGCAACTCAGTGAGGCCCTAAGCAACTCAGCTAGACTCTGTCTCTAAATAAAATACAAAAAGGGCAGAGGATATAGCTCAGTAGTTAAGCATCCCTGGGTTCAATCCTCAGCACCCAAAAAAAAAAAAAAAAAAAAAGACTGCCTCTTGATTCAATGAAAAGTAAGATGGCCCTGACCATGGAAAGAGTAGCAAAATAATTCCTGAATTATTCCAACAACACTTAACCAATTTAACTGGTCAATCCCTGTCCACCAGCAGAAACCAGTGTCATTTCTGGTTGCCCCTTCCCTGCCATTTAGCATTTTGTAGCTCAGCTCAGGGAACACGCAGACATCAGCACAGTTTCACTTTTAGTCATATAACTCTTCCTTGTGCCCTTATTTGGGGTCTTTTGACTCATGCTTCATTCTCTATAAACACTGATCACAGGTAAGGTGTGCAATCAAGGGTAATGTTGCCTCCACTCAGATTATTTGCCTTCTCTGTTTGCTGGGAATAAAGTCATGAAAGTAATGGCTGGGTGCAACCAAGATAACATTGAAATGTCCAGACAAAAGGGCTCATTTCCTGGAGAATCTGTCATGGTTAGAGATTGAGGGAAGGGGGCATGTATGTATACATATATTTCAGGGCCTTGAAATCCAGATTTGCAGAGATCTAATTAAAATGACTCTGAATTCAGAGACCAGACATACATGACCCTCAGGAAGCAGCCAGTTGATCAATTCTCTTAAGAGAATTGTGTTGTAGAGACAGAACCCAACATCTGATCTCTTCAGCCACATGCTCTTTACTGGGATTTTACAGTTTCTATTATTTGGACCACTAAAGTGGAAGTCTTTCTACAAATGTAAAAGACAGTGTATGAGATCTGAAAGTCCTCAGTTACAGATGAAGAACCTGACCAACAAGGACTAGACCACTGACACACCAGGCGCTAGTGACATTGCCAAGAGTAGATCTTAAGTCTCTCAGTGACCAGGTCAGGGTCCTTAGCCCAATTATCCTTGGCCCCTCCTTGGACCTTCATAGCACCTTCTCTGTCCCTTTCTTGACCCTCACCTGATTCTTGTGACATGAGTGACAAAATAAGATGGAGGTCAAGGTATTTCTGGCTTCTCATTTCAGTTCCAGTACCTGTGAAGAGAGCATATCTCTAGGCCCTGGTTTCCTGTTCTCACAAGTAGAGATAACTTTGCATGCCCCCTCTCCACTGCTCATAAAAACAGAGGAGAGCTAGACTGGAAGTCAAAGTGGGAACCCCACCTTGGCCATCCTTCAAGCATCTGTGCATCAAGGCACTTGGACACATTCCTTAGCCTACTTTCACTTCATTTACTCATCTAAAGAACATATAGGAATAATAACACTTGGCCTGCCCATTTCTGTAAGATTAAAATGGAAAGATGTAAGTGAAGGGTAATATAGGAGTGGCCAAGCTCTGGTTTAAGATGGAGCTAGCTGGGAGCTTCCTAGGTCTTTTTTATTTTAAATGAGATCAGACAGAGTGGTCTCAAGTGATGCTCTCAGTGGTAGTGGGCATGTCAGTGTTTTCCATAGAGTGGCCTATTTGGGGTTAAGCCAGAGCTGGGGTTGGGGAGGCTGGTACTACCCCTGAGGAGGGAGTCCTGTCCAATCAGCCCACCCAGTACTCGAATCCACTGGGGCTGTGTGGCTCAGCCAGACAAGTGCCTCTTGGGGCTGCTTCTCTAACAAATAAAAAAATAATGCCCTTGAATGAGGAGTGAAACTGAACTATCTAAGGAAAACAGAGTGAGCAAACACTGAGAGCCAAGGGAAACCATCTGATTAGCAGAGGTCCCCTCAGGCGCAGGTCGGTGCACAGCTTGGGCAGCAGGAGGGCGACAGCTTCTCTCTGGTAGCACCACAAGGCGAGCGTGCTGAGGCCATGTCCGCCACCACGTGCCAAGTGGTGGGGTTCCTCCTGTCCCTCCTGGGTCTGGCGGGCTGCATCGCTGCCACGGAGATGGACATGTGGAGCACCCAGGACCTGTATGACAACCCAGTCACTGCCGTGTTCCAGTATGAAGGACTCTGGAGGAGCTGCGTGAGGCAGAGCTCTGGGTTCACCGAGTGTCGGCCCTACTTCACCATCCTGGGCCTTCCAGGTAGGCACCATGCACCGTGGGCAGGACCCGGCAAGCACAGGCCAAGCAGCTATCCATCCTGCTGCCCAGAGTGAGCCACACTCCTGCCTCTGCAGGTGACCCTGGCCACTCTGGCCCAGGAAAAAAGGTGTAAATAAGAGAAGTTGACTCTCTGTCAAAGAGAGCAACAGAAAAAATGAGGGAAACCATACCAAGTTGAAGGAATTGCAAGTAAGAAGGCAGGCCACCAGAAGAACAGGTCTATTGTAAGAGCTGGCTGGTGATACCTAGAATAAACTGTTTCTCCAGGTGAAAATAAATTGTTTGCTTCCCTGTGCATGTGACTCACTTCTGCCTGCACAGACCTGGGAGTGGGGAAGGAGGATGTTAAGTCTTTTATTAGAGAAATAAAAGTTTATCAAGGACTAATTTAATTATATTCAATCCAACTAAATTTTTCTTTGAAAAGGTGAAGTCTCTATAAGTGCCCAAAATATTACCATTACATTATAATTTCCTTTTTCTGCATTTGAAATTAAGAACATCGGGTATGTTCTTCCTAATAATCAATGTGTCAGAAGATAAAATTATGATTATAGTGATGTCAGCATGAAAATATAATTACAAATGTGATATCCTTTCATCCTCAAGGATAGAATAAGTTAAAACTTTGTTTCTAATGAAGATAATTATTTCAAATATATGTCATAGCAACTTTGCATTCTGGATATTATAGTTGGTCTATTTGTATTCATTTTTTAAAAAGCAAATAAAAAAATAGGGCAACCTAATCAGTGGATCCAAGCAGTGGCCAAAATATGTGTCTTTGAAACAAGTACCTTATAACCAGGTAGATGGAAATAAATTTGCAAGAAATTGTAAAGAGAATGTGGAGTCCTTGAAATTGAATTTCAAAAAACAATTCAACTAATTCATGTTCATTTTCAGAAAGAAGTAGAAGATAGGTGTCAGACTATAAGAATTGAGTTATTTAGTCCATGTGTGGAAGCCACTCATTGCAGAATCAATAAGATCACTGACTCCATGAAAGCAAGTGGGGTAGAACCTGGCCAGAGGCAAGAAAGCTAGAGTCACCAGTGATTGTGCTATATAATGAGGGGAGAGGTCAGAGGGAGGACATGTAAGACATGGATGGCTATGCCTAATTTTAATTACTAGGTGAAGAAAAAAGATTGACCTCATATTCAAAACTAAAGCATAACATCCCATGATTTCATGCTCAGTGTGACCTTTTCCCTAGGCCCCACCAAACATTACTAATCTCTCACTTTCTCTGCATCACAATTTCACACATGGAAGCTTCCAGATACTCCCATAAATGGCCAAACCTCATTGCCACTACCCTACCTTGCCTTATTCCATGGAGGGAATCCTATCCTTAGTGAGTCTACTCAATCTCTCTCTGCCTCTTGATAATTCTACTGTGTGGAACTAGACCCCCTCCCCTCTCCAACCCAAGGCCAACCCTCCACTGGCTCTGTAGGCCCCATACCACGCCACCTGGATGCATGCCCTGTTGATGGGCCTCTTTCCTTCTCCCTCCTTCTTTCTCCCTTCTCCCTTATGCTCTATCCTCCCTTCCTGGAAAATATACTCTTGATTCTGATCATTGTCAAGTTCTATGTCCCTCCTGGGTCACTGACAACCAGATTCAAAGACTAAAATTTTCCATCACTTCTCACTCATCACCTTTCTCAATCTGTCCTTCATCTCTTTAAAGCATTTGCTCCTTTGACTATGGCTCAAGGTTGGGGGAATCTTCAGTCACCAACTCTCAGTCTCTGTTCTCACCTCCTCACACATTTCAAAGTCCAAGCACCTTTCATGATTCTTGGTTCCCAGATTAACTGGGTACAGACATGACAGCCTAACACCAGTGCCATCCCACTTCCTTCACCTATCTTCCTTGACTTCTCTTCCTAGACCCATTGATTCCACTCCCCAAAATGCCCTGCTTCACCACTGCAACTGCCCTCTCCACCAATCTTTCCTGAAGTCTTCTCACATTCTCAAATTAAATAGAATCTCACAAATCAGAGAAAAACCAGAGCACTCTTACAGGATTGAGCATATGCACTCCTCATGCCTTTGCTCACTAATCTAAGAGGCATTTATTGCCTACCTGCAGAATGAACACAACCCCAAACCAGCCCTGTCAGCACCTATAAACACTAGTCAAGAAGACAGGCATGAGCATGTCTTAAAAGTATATCAAAGCAAAGAAAATACCTGTTATAATGTATGGAGCTCCAGGAAGAAAAGGTTAACCATAGGAAGTGTCAGGAGGGGAATGTCAGGATGGCCTCACTAAGGGGGTTCTGCTCAAGTATGAACCTTAGCTACTAACTTGGTTATTGAACATTTGTCTCTTCAGCTTCTGCTTAACAGGGTCTGTTAGCTAGACAAGAATTCTTTCCCCAGTTCCCAGCATAGGGCTGAATGGATGAGTATTCAGCAAATGACTGTTACACTAAGTTGAACTAAATAATAAGAATAGTTGATTTTAACTAATAAACTACTATGTGAAATAATAACAGGTAGAGAGTTTCCACCAAAACAGGACTTTGTACTACAGTTTTTACAACTATGGTTCCATGTATAGAAAGGAACTTGGTCCTCATCCTGCCTAAAACAAATTCATTATTAGTTCAATCATATATTAAACAAATATCTTTGGGACACCTACTACATTACAGGAACTAGAATGTCAGGGACTTCATTAATCAGAGTAGTTAAGGTCAGCTACTGCAACAAATCTAAATATCTCAGTGGCTTAACACACACACAAAAGTTTACTTCCTGCCACAAGTTTATTATGGGAAGAGCAACCTCCTGGTATCTATACTATTCAAAGAAAGTGGAGCAAGACCAGAAAGTCCTGAAGGGGGCACAACTGCTCCTAATCACCTTGGCCTGCAAGTGACACCCAAACACAGTACATTGTCCAGAACTAGCCTTGTGGTCCTGGAAATTGGGAGACATAGCAGCATACAGCTATTTGGTGCACATCAACTGCCCATGCCACAGGGACTCTTTGAATACTAACTGCCTAGGCTGAACTTTATCCACAAGGCTAATTTCAGTTCTGCAAGAACTTCCTTGAACATCAAATGATCACCACCAATGACAGTGCAAAAGAGGACATGCATTAATTTATATTAATTTTTTCAGACAAATGCTGTTGAATTCTGCTATGTGTAAAATATCATCTGATGCAATAAACTATGTGTGAATGACAGACATTTTGATGGGTGTGGCCTGAAATAAGGAAGAAGGTAGGGTTTGAGATGAGTTTCTGTATTATAAAAATTCCCCAGCTCTTAATATCAAATGAATACAATCACAGAAAAAAAGCACAATTTTTCTTAAAAAAAAAAAAAAGGAAGGAAAAGAAGGAAGATTTGGTAATACAAGGTAATTTTATTACAGTCAGGCCAAAGAGCTTACAGAGAAGAGACACAGTTGCTCCCCAAGGAGTCTTGAAATGTTTCAAATCCACAATGGGAGATAATCTGGGCTCTTTTAAAAGAAATTTAGGACACAGTGAGATAAGAGGAAGGACTTCCCCAATTGTATTTTGAGGACAGCAAACATGAATGTAAGGTCCTGCTACTATACATGTAGGGGCTCTTGGAAGCTGTTGGTCTTCTATCAGTTAGTGTGTGACCAGAGGATCCTGGGTACCTGTCTTGCATCTCCTATAACACCTAGCATGGGGCACAACAAGTGACAGGGCTGGGGTGGGGAAGATGTGTGCTGCTCTACATCCTACCTCCTGGTTGTACTGTGAAAAGTTTGGCTGGAATGGGTCATTAGAACAGGGAATGATTCCCAGCAGCCACTCAGAGGTATACCCCAGTCTCACTTGTCTGAGTCACAGGAACAGGATTCTACCAAAATCCAGGAGAAACACTTCTAGCGACTCAGTTTGTATAAAAGGACAAACTTTAAGTCACTGATAAGTTGTGGCTAACACTGCGTCACCATCAGCTGGCTCCCCTGCTCATCACCAGCCAGATCTTGTGGCTGATTATCCTGATCCCCTCCTGGTGCCACTAGGTCCAGCCTTCTTCTTCCTCCTCTTCTCAAACTTCTTACCCTCTCAATCACCACAATCCCACACCCATAACCGTTTCAAATACTCAGCCTGATTTTATCACCAAGTGAGAGGATTAGGTTTGTGTACACTCATTAAAAGGCAAAGGCAAGGGTTGGAGTCATGGCTCAGTGGTAGAGCACTTGCCTAGCATGTGCGAGGCAATGGGTTCGATTCTAAGCACCACATAAAAATAAATAAATACATAAATAAAGGTATTGTGCACACCTACAACTAAAAAAAATAAAATAAAGGCAAAGGCAAGAGGTTTGGAACACGTTCTTTTAAGAAACAGGAAAAAACGGATACTTATCAAGCCTGGCTGAAGTGGCATCTGATCATCACAACATCTTAAAGCAAGACATATCTTCATTCCACTCCGGAGTTGAGGAAACAGACCTTGGTGGGGTCAAATGGCTTGCCTAATGACATTCATGTGGCATCACATTATTCTACAGGTTTTCATGAGATATGAAGGACTTCCCTGTGGGTTCCTTGGGATCTCTAGAAAGTCTAAGCTCTTCCACCTTCTTCTGAAGGGCCAATTCTCTAGGGTCAGCCTCAGACTCCCCTCTTTGTTCTCCTTCCACCAGCCCTCCCTGCCTTTACTCTGAGGCCAAGCTGCCTGGAGATGTGGGTCTTCTCCCTGCCCCACCAAGGCCCCAGCCCAGACCTCTGGCTCCCAGTGAATGGCTACCTCATCAACCCCAATCTCCGCCAGCTCAGTGCTGCCAGCCCTGGAACTCATTCCTCTCAAATTCCCACTATGACCCCTTCTTTTTTCCTACATTATTCCTTGAAATCTAATATTATAAAACAACTAAATGAAAGTCTCTAAGAGTGAGGTCAAACATTACTATTTCTTTAAAGTTTCTCCCAAAGGATGCTCAGGTGCGGCCAACAC